AGTTCTGGTCTCCATATTACAGAATGGACATAAATTCGTTAGAAAACATTCAGCGTAGGATGACTAAATTAATACATAGCATTAGAAATCTTCCTTATGAAGAAAGATTGAAGACTCTTAAGTTACATTCACTTGTTAGACGAAGAATGAGGGGAGACCTGATCGAAGTGTATAAGTGGAAGATAGGTATTAATAAAGGGGGTATTAACAAGGTCTTGAGGATATCTCTCCAAGAGAGAACCCGCAGTAATGGATTTAAATTAGATAAGTTTAGATTTAGAAAGGACATAGGAAAGTATTGGTTTGGAAATAGGGTAGTTGATGAGTGGAACAGTCTACCTAGTTGGGTTGGAAATATAAACACATATGCATTATAATGTGATCCTTTATTGACTACGTTTCGCCCACACAGTGGGCTTTTTCAAGTCACAAACAGAACTACCTGGGGTGGAAGGAACGCGAGTATATATAGTCAGGTTCAGAATGCTGAGGTCAGGTGGAGAATGCTGCATCTGATGATGTACCGAGTGGGGTTATAGAGTCTAAAATCTTGGGTAGCTTGGAAAATAGATTGGACAAGTTTGTGAGCAGACCTTCTACAGTGTTCTTATGTGGGATAGCGATGAAGAAGCTTCTTGGCAAGTGGTTCAGCTATGTTATAGAAGCCACTATTCTGGTTGAAGTTGTCGGATATAGAAATAAGTGATGATTCCAGGATTCTTCGGTATTGAGTGTTGTCTTCTGTGGCGATAAGTCTTGAGTTTCTGTAGTTTATCAAGTGGTTGTGTGAATTACGGTGTTGTACGCAGGCATTCCTTGTATCGTCAGACCTGCTTGCGTATTGGTGTTCTGAAATACGTGTTTGGAGGTCCCTTGATGTTTCGCCAACGTATAACTTGTTGCAGTCATTACAAGGGATTATGTATACCCCTGCAGAGGGTGGAAGCTTGTCCTGTCTATCACTGGTAATGTCCTTGATGGTCGTGGTTGTGGAGGTAGATACTTGAAATGGTGTAATTATAGGCTTCTTCCTGCGTGCACTCAGAATCTGCAGCAATGAGTTTCTTGAAGAAGAATGCACGATGATTGAACAAGTATTTTCTAAACTTCACTATCCTCGTCACTTCATCAGAGACTGCAGACGACGGGCATTAAACATCTTCAACACACCCAGAGAAGACACTGCCGAGAAGAGATACATAGTCCTCCCCACCAACTCCATTGCCAAACACGTTTCCAACATCTTTTCCAATGAACATCAAAATGGTATACAATACCGACAGGTTGTTAGGTAAGACACATATGCAACAGTTAGACAACTTTATTCCGAAACGTTTCGCCTACACAGTAGGCTTCTTCAGTCGAATACAGAAAATAGGCAGGAACAGTAGAGATGTGAAGACGATGTAATCAGTCCATCACCCTTGTAGTCGTAGAATTTGAGGTTGTCAGTCCCTCGGCCTGGAGAAGTTCAGTTCCATAGTCAGGAACTATCTGAAGATCAAGCGACAGTGCGGAGACTTAAATACTGTCAGAAGGAGAGGTGCAGAGTAGTAGTAGTAGTAGTAGTGGTAGTAGTGAGAATGTAACCACTGAGAGGTCATGTCCCTCTCAGATCCAACACTTCTCACTTGAAAAGCTTGTCCAAGGTGTTTTCTGTACCAAGATGCCATGTGTTGCAGTGTCTGTCAAGATGAACATCAAAATGGTATACAATACCGACAGGTTGTTAGGTAAGACACATATGCAACAGTTAGGGTGATGGACTGATTACATCGTCTTCACATCTCTACTGTTCCTGCCTATTTTCTGTATTCGACTGAAGAAGCCTACTGTGTAGGCGAAACGTTTCGGAATAAAGTTGTCTAACTGTTGCATATGTGTCTTACCTAACATCTTTTCCAATACCTCATTTCAAGTATCTACCTCCACAACCACGACCATCAAGGACATTACCAGTGATAGACAGGACAAGCTTCCACCCTCTGCAGGGGTATGCATAATCCCTTGTAATGACTGCAACAAGTTATACGTTGAGAGTAAGACACATGTGCAACATCTGGGTATCTTTATTGTAGACGTTTCGCCATCCAGTGGCTTTATCAATACAAATTCTAGGACATAACTTGAAGACAGTAGAACTATGTACAGAAGATGAGGTAATCAGTCCCTCAACCTAGGAGTAGGTGCGAAGAGCACCATAGTCGTGGAGATTCTGAAGCAGAAGAAAGGATCCTGGCGCTTATATAGTAACGTCAGGTGTAGCAGACGAGGGCATATTCACTGGTAGGCGGGATTCCCCAGTGGAAGTAGGTCCTTCCCAAAGAGATGGGTTAGTTGTAGTAGTAGTTGTCGTAGTCGTGAAGGTTATGTATGGAATCTTAATTCTGAGGACATGTACATAACCTTCACGACTACGACAACTACTACTACAACTAACCCATCTCTTTGGGAAGGACCTACTTCCACTGGGGAATCCCGCCTACCAGTGAATATGCCCTCGTCTGCTACACCTGACGTTACTATATAAGCGCCAGGATCCTTTCTTCTGCTTCAGAATCTCCACGACTATGGTGCTCTTCGCACCTACTCCTAGGTTGAGGGACTGATTACCTCATCTTCTGTACATAGTTCTACTGTCTTCAAGTTATGTCCTAGAATTTGTATTGATAAAGCCACTGGATGGCGAAACGTCTACAATAAAGATACCCAGATGTTGCACATGTGTCTTAATCTCAGACTCACCTTTGTTCAGTACAGACTCACCTTTGTTCAGTACAGACTCACCTTTGTTCAGTACAGACTCACCTTTGTTCAGTAAAGACTCACCTTTGTTCAGTAAAGACTCACCTTTGTTCAGTAAAGACTCACCTTTGTTCAGTAAAGACTCACCTTTGTTCAGTGATAAGAAGCTCACCTTTGTTCAGTAAAGACTCACCTTTGTTCAGTAAAGACTCACCTTTGTTCAGTAAAGACTCACCTTTGTTCAGTAAAGACTCACCTTTGTTCAGTAAAGACTCACCTTTGTTCAGTAAAGACTCACCTTTGTTCAGTAAAGACTCACCTTTGTTCAGTAAAGACTCGTCAGTGTTGCTCTTGTCCTTTACTCATCATCTTTGTACTTGGCGCACTCTGCTTAACATGTACCACAACCTGATACTCCACACAACATTTTTTTGTGTGCATGTGATTGAAAGCCAGGACAAGTCCGGGACGTGCTAGTTAAAAATGGAAGGAAAGGTGTGAGACACCAGTGCCGGCGTTCATAGCATTACATGCCGTCGCCGTGAAAAATGTTATCTTGTAGGAACCTCTAGTATAAGCAGAGTCTGAGAACATATATAGGTATGCATGCCACAGGCACGACACTAGGAACACATTTACTCTACACTGCTACACTGAGAATCACCTAATGAATGTCCCAGAAGGCAGACTTAGTATTAAGGAGAGAGACCGTGGCAACAGATTGTGTTTACAATCAGCAGTAATAGTCACTGCAAGTTTTGTTTCATTAAACTCTGCATCATTCACAGTCTCTGGATGCTTAGTGAAACTTATCTTACTAAACTAGACACCACATCACCACTTACTTTTTTGTATTAGCAGGTTCTTTTATATAAACATTACATCCAGGATGTAATGTTTAATGACGCTTCTGTGAACACAAGCGCCATTAGCGAACAAAAGAGGTGAAATTAACATAAACAGTATCCACTTAGGGTAGAGAGTAAAATAACAGCTTTAATACGATCAAAATTGTGAACATTTCGGCAGCAGCAATTACAGAAGCAGTGCCAAAACCATCAGTCATTTCTACTTTTTTTTTTGTGGCGATACACCACAGAGTTTGCATAAATTTGTGTTGCACAAGGATCAGCACTGGGCCCTTTGTTGTTAACAACCAGTATAAACAACATAGACGAGGGACTAAAATAGCAGCATAAACATGTTCACTGATGACAATAAGCTATATCGTGATAGAATATATGTCACTGTTATCTTCATCCTCCGGTCTTCATCTATCACAGATACTACTTACAAGGTGCTATGGACAGTCATTTTTTATATACATAAAAGCGTTGTATTCTTTATCCTGCTTCACTGTTTTAAATATTGTCCCTTATGAAACACTTCACTTTAATTGATCTAATTATTTTCATGGTAATTTTGACTGGTGCCTTTTTATATAATGTAGTTGTAGTTGATGTTATTGTGTTGCATTAGTTTATGGCGTATTTTTAGTTGTTTAAAGTGTATTCTTATAGTGTATTTGTGAGTGTAGATGAATGGTTCAGAGAACCGACATGTTGATAAATTAGACACATGTGCAACTCTTGGGTATCTTTATTGAGGAAACGTTTCGCCACACAGTGGCTTCATCAGTCCATACATAGGAGAAAACTTGAAGAACAGGAGGAGAATGAGGTAATCAGTCCCTCAACCTTGAGTCGATGTGTTCAGTCCATCAATCTTGAGTAGAATACGGCAGTGTCTGACAGACACTGCAACTTCTTGGGATCTTAATACTTAGGAATTCTTGGCTTGCCTAATTCTTGGGCACAACCTACTTCCACATTGAACAAATGTGACACCACCTATGACTGCTGCACCTCTCCTGCCATACGGTTTATAAGCTGCTTCTCCGCTCATCTGCCGTATTCTACTCAAGATTGATGGACTGAACACATCGACTCAAGGTTGAGGGACTGATTACCTCATTCTCCTCCTGTTCTTCAAGTTTTCTCCTATGTATGGACTGATGAAGCCACTGTGTGGCGAAACGTTTCCTCAATAAAGATACCCAAGAGTTGCACATGTGTCTAATTTATTTGTGAGTGGCTGGAAGTTTTGCCCTGCTGCCTGACTTCTGCTTCCGCATATTTGACTTATATGAGTCATCCCTCACCGCGACCTCCGGTAGTTGTTACACTGCGGTGAGGCCCCACTCATTGACTCACCTCTCACCTACATGCTTGACTCACCTGTGTCATGTGTTACAGCTGTGGCAATACCTGGCTCGTCAGTACCTGCGTCAACCTGACTCATCAGTAGGTGGGTCTACCTGACTCACCAGTAGGTGGGTCTACCTGACTCATCAGTAGGTGGGTCTACCTGACTCACCAGTAGGTGGGTCTACCTGACTCACCACTATGTCTTCCACACTGCCTCGAACTCGAAGTGTGAGTGCTGCTTCCTCATCGTCCTCCAGCGCTGCCTCAGCCACCAAGGTAACTTCTCATTCACGTTTTCTTCACGTCTTCCTTCTCTTCATGTTGTTTTCTCTACTTCGCCTCCTCTTACTGTCTTCATTACTACACCTCCTTTTCCTCCTCATGTTTCTTTACTTCACTTCTTCCTCCTCATCTTGTCTTCTTTATTTCACATCGTCATCAAAAGTACAAGTTTTTCCTTCAAAACTGCTAGGTACTGTACACTCCCACAACCCACCTGCCACAACGTTGCCACTAACACTCTTTCACTATGATATCTGCGCTCCAAGAACGAGTCTGTCTGGTATCTGTACCACCACTCACGTACCCGTTCATGTTTCAAGAACGGGTCCGTCTGGTGTCTGTACCACTGCTCACGTACCCGTCCATGTCTCAAGAAAGAGTCTGTCCCTTATACAAAAATACCACCACTCACTGGCCTACCTGTCCATTTTTCAGGAGCGGGTTCGTCCGGTATCAGTGTGCGACGCAACGTGGGCGGCCAAGATGTCGGGTTCAGAGGGTGGTCAGCAGCAGCAGCAGCAGCAGCTGCTGGTGCGGACACCGTCACAAGCCAACAATCTGTGCACAACGGTGCCACAGAGCCTGGTGGTGCAGACGCTGGGTGGGCGACATACACCCACCAGAAGCAGCCTCAGGCACTCACGCATGATCGTACTAGCCAAGAATGGTTACCGTGAGTACACTTTTTACTCGTATTTTTTTTATAATGTGTACCCTGGTATTTCTTTACGCGTACTACTGTTGTTTCTTTCTTATATACTGTTGTTATGCCCTCTTATATACTGTTGTTATGCCCTAATATGTACTGTTGTTGTGCTCTTAGGTGTACTGTTATTATTTTTGCCCTCCTATGTGCTAGTCTGCTACTACTTATTCTCTCAACCCATGAAACGGGCGGGGATTCAACCCATGGCAAGTGAGCCCTAACACTCCGTGTTTTGTTTACAATCGTGTTATTACGATTTCGTGAGTCATGTTCTTTCATGTGCATTTCTGCTGTTTCTTGTTCCTTAGTAGTTCTTATAATAATTGTTGCTTTCGTGTCAGTTATTATGTTATGTATCAAGGGTCAGTGAGGCGACTGTTATGCTGCTTTTAGTTCTTAAGTTCAACAACAGACACATATGTCTCACTGTATCTTGTCAACAACAGATACATGTCATGCCTCACTGTATCTTGTCAACAACAGACACATGTCATGCCTCACTGTATCTTGTCAACAACAGACACATGTCATGCCTCACTGTATCTTGTCAACAACAGACACATGTCATGCCTCACTGTATCTTGTCAACGACAGACACATGTCATGCCTCACTGTATCTTGTCAACAACAGACACATGTAATGCCTCACTGTATCTTGTCAACAACAGACACATGTCATGCCTCACTGTATCTTGTCAACGGCAGACACATGTCATGCCTCACTGTATCTTGTCAACAACAGATACATGTCATGCCTCACTGTATCTTGTCAACAACAGACACATGTCATGCCTCACTGTATCTTGTCAACAACAGACACATGTCATGCCTCACTGTATCTTGTCAACAACAGACACATGTCAATGCCTCACTGTATCTTGTCAACAACAGACACATGTCATGCCTCACTGTATCTTGTCAACAACAGACACATGTCATGCCTCACTGTATCTTGTCAACAACAGACACATGTAATGCCTCACTGTATCTTTTTCAACAACAGACACATGTCATGCCTCACTGTACTTGTCAACAACAGACACATGTCATGCCCACTGTATCTGGTCAAAAACAGACACATGTCATGCCCCCACTGTATCTGTCAACAACAACACATGTCATGCCTCACTGTATCTTGTCAACAACAGACACATGTCATGCCTCACTGTATCTTGTCAAGAACTAACACATGTCCATGCCTCACTGTATCTTGTCAACAACAGACACTGTCATGGGCCTCACTCTATCTTGTCAACAAACAGACACATGTCATGCCTCACTGTTTTCTGTCAACAACAGACACATGTCATGCCTCACTGTATCTTGTCAAAAACAGACACATGTCATGCCTCACTGTATCTTGTCAACAACAGACACATGTCATGCCTCACTGTATCTTGTCAACAACAACACATGTCATGCCTCACTGTATCTTTTCAACAACAGACACATGTCATGCCTCAAATGTATCTTGTCAACAACAGACACAGTCATGCCTCACTGTGTCTTGTCAACAACAGACACATGTCATGCCTCACTGTATCTTGTCAACGGCAGACACAAAGTCATGCCTCGCTGTATCTTGTCAACAACAACACATGTCATTCCTCACTGTATCTTGTCAACAAAAATACACATGTCATGCCTCACTGTTTTCTTGTCAACAACAGACACATGTCATGCCTCACTGTACTTGTCAACAACAGGACACATGTCATGCCTCACTGTATCTTGTCAACAACAGACACATGTCATGCCTCACTGTATCTTGTCAACAACAGACACATGTCATGCCTCACTGTATCTTGTCAACAACAGACACATGTCATGCCTCACTGTATCTTGTCAACGGCAGACACATGTCATGCATCACTGTATCTTGTCAACAACAGACACATGTCATGCCTCCCCTGTATCTTGTCAACGGCAGACACATGTCATGCCTCACTGTATCTTGTCAACAACAGACACATGTCATGCCTCACTGTATCTTGTCAACGTCAGACACATGTCATGCCTCACTGTGTCGTGTCAACAACAGACACATGTCATGCCTCACTGTATCTTGTCAACGTCAGACACATGTCATGCCTCACTGTATCTTGTCAACAACAGACACATGTCATGCCTCACTGTATCTTGTCAACGGCAGACACATGTCATGCCTCACTGTATCTTGTCAACAACAGACACATGTCATGCCTCACTGTATCTTGTCAACAACAGACACATGTCATGCCTCACTGTAATCTTGTTTAACAACAGACACATGTCATGCCTCACTGTATCTTGTCAACAACAGACACATGTCATGCCTCACTGTATCTTGTCAACAACAGACACATGTCATGCCTCACTGTATCTTGTCAACAACAGACACATGTCATGCCTCACTGTATCTTGTCAACAACAACAAAATTCATGCCTCACTGTATCTTGTCAACAACAGACCATGTCATGCCTCACTGTATCTTGTCAACAACAGACCCCATGTCATGCCTCACTGTGTCGTGTCAACAAGACACATGTCATGCCTCACTGTGTCGTGTCAACAACAGACCCCATGTCATGCCTCACGTATCTTGTCAACAACAGACACATGTCATGCCTCGCTGTGTCGTGTCAACAACAACACATGTCAGCCTCACTGTATCTTGTCAACAACAGACACATGTCATGCCTCACTGTATCTTGTCAACAACAGACACATGTCATGCCTCACTGTAACTTGTTTAACAACAGACACATGTCATTTGCCTCACTATCTTGTCAACAACAGACACATGTCATGCCTCCACTGTATCTTGTCAACAACAGACCCATGTCATGCCTCACTGTAAACTTGTCAACCCCCCCAACACATGTCATGCCTCACTGTATCTTGTCACAACAGACACATGTCAAAGCCTCACTGTATCTTTTCAACGGCAGACACATGTCCATGCCCCACACTGTTTTTGTCAACAATAGACACATTCATGCCCCCACTGTGTCGTGTCAACAACAACACATGTCATGCCTCCACTGTATCTTGTCAACAACAGACACATGTCATGCCTCACCGTATCTTGTCAACAACAGACACATGTCATGCCTCACTGTATCTTGTCAACAACAGACACATGTCATGCCTCACTGTATCTTGTCAACATATTCTTGTACAGTTGTATCTGCTGTTATTATATTTTTTCATGATAAATGTTTGTTATGGGTTCCTGGTGTTAGTGTACGTTCACATGTATCATGACTGGTGTTAGTGTACGTTCACATGTATCATGACTGGTGTTAGTGTACGTTCACATGTATCATGACTGGTGTTAGTGTACGTTCACATGTATCATGACTGGTGTTAGTGTACGTTCACATGTATCATGACTGGTGTTAGTGTACGTTCACATGTATCATGACTGGTGTTGGTGTACGTTCACATGTATCATGACTGGTGTTATTGTACGTTCACATGTTATCAGAAATGGTGTTAGTGTACGTTCACAAAGTATCATGACTGGTGTTAGTGTACGTTCACATGTATCATGACTGTGTTTGGGTACGTTCACATGTATCATGACTGGTGTTAGTGTACGTTCACATGTATCATGACTGGTGTTAGGTACGTTCACATGTATCTTTACTGGTGTTAGTGTACGTTCACATGGGATCATGACTGGGTTTGTGTACGTTCACATGTATCATGACTGGTGTTGGTGTACGTTCACATGTAACATGACTGTTTATTTTACGTTCACATGTATCATGACTGGGGTTAGTGTCGTTCACATGTATCATGACTGGTGTTATTTTACGTTCACATGTATCATGACTGGTTTTTAGTGTAAAGTTCACATGTACATGACTGGTGTTAGTGTACGTTTCCATGTATCATGACTGGTGTTAGTGTACGTTCACATGTATCATGACTGGTGTTAGTGTACTTTACATGTAACATGACTGGTGTTGGGGTACGTTCACATGTATCATACTGGTGATTAGTTGTTTTTTAATTCACATGTATCATGACTGGTGTTAGGGGTACGTTCACATGTATCATACTGGTGTTAGTGTACGTTCACATGTATCATGACTGGTGTTAGTGTACGTTCACATGTATCATGACTGGTGTTGGTGTACGTTCACATGTATCATGACTGGTGTTAGTGTACGTTCACATGTATCATGACTGGTGTTAGTGTACGTTCACATGTATCATGACTGGTGTTAGTGTACGTTCACATGTATCATGACTGGTGTTAGTGTACGTTCACATGTATCATGACTGGTGTTAGTGTACGTTCACATGTATCATGACTGGTGTTAGTGTACGTTTCCATGTATCATGACTGGTGGGTTTGTGTACGTTCACATGTGTCATGACTGGTGTTGGTGTACGTTCACATGTATCATGGGCTGGGTTGGTGTAAAGTTCACATGTATCATGACTGGTGTTAGTGTACGTTCACATGTATCATGACTGGTGTTAGTGTACGTTCACATGTATCATGACTGGTGTTAGTGTACGTTCACATGTATCATGACTGGTGTTGGTGTACGTTCACATGTATCATGACTGGTGTTAGTGTACGTTCACATGTATCATGACTGGTGTTAGTGTACGTTCACATGTATCATGACTGGTGTTAGTGTACGTTCACATGTATCATGACTGGTGTTAGTGTACGTTCACATGTATCATGACTGGTGTTGGTGTACGTTCACATGTATCATGACTGGTGTTAGTGTACGTTCACATGTATCATGACTGGTGTTAGTGTACGTTCACATGTATCATGACTGGTGTTAGTGTACGTTCACATGTATCATGACTGGTGTTAGTGTACGTTCACATGTATCATGACTGGTGTTAGTGTACGTTCACATGTATCATGACTGGTGTTAGTGTACGTTCACATGTGTCATGACTGGTGTTGGTGTACGTTCACATGTATCATGACTGGTGTTAGTGTAACGTT